AATTAATAAAATCATATCAAATCTTTCATAATAATCAAATTCATAACATATCCAAATTTGCCTGATGAAAGCATATGAAATTAGGAGATAATCTATTTTTGATAGATTTATGAGATATAAAATTCATAAAAATCAAAATCATGAAAAACTAAAGTAAGAGACTAGTCACTAACAATGAATAAAATAAAATGTGTATTAGGAATGCCGACAAATATGATCCAAAGTCATTTCTCTCTCCTCTTTCTTCTTCCCCTATTTCAATTTCTTCTTAGTCAAGCAATTAATTGAGTGAGTCAGTGGGGTAAGACAGGGATATATTATATATTATTCATGGCCTACCGCCGCAACACTCACAATATCAGCTCCAAAATGTTCTACTTCATAATTTTTATATTTTTCAAGAAAATTTATTTTACAAACTTGAGTTATTACAATCTCCCACCTTCAAAAAATATCATCCTCGACATCTCTATATCAATCCGAGAGAGAGAGAGAGAGAGAGAGAGAGAGAGAGAGAGAGAGAGAGAGAGAGAGAGAGCATGATCAAAATAAAATTTTAAACTCAAATCAACTAATTATAAATCAAAAATCACATTTCTACACCGCTCATAATAGTAAACAATATATTGCTATGGTTTACTATCATGAGCGGAATAGACACAAAAATTGCCCATTTTCAATAAATAAAATTGCCTAATTTTTGAGAATTTTTTTTAAGTTTCATGTAGAAAATTATGCATTTCACAATCCTATTCGCTCATCCTAAAAATAGAGACTAATTTCATCCTTGTGTGTTCAAGCTCCCAACATAACATGCTATATTATTACCAAGTATCAATACATCATAAATTTTCACTTCATAACTAGGTTTTATTTTTACGTAAAGGTCACAAAGAAATAAATATATATAATATACGCGGCGATAGAGTTTTAACTGTACGTCTTAGCTTTGCACGGATATCCAGCTCACACACAGAGAACACAAGATTTTTACATGGAAAACCCTTAAAAGGGGAAAAACCATGAGGCCTAAAAACCCAGTTGAAAATGATTCCACTAGAATATAAGTCGGTTACAATGGGCCGATTCGCCTCCGAGTGTGATCAGATTTGTTTTATAAATTACTAATCCTTTAACCAAAAATCATGATAACGCATCAATCGTTCAACTAGGTGCGTAAATGAGTCGAGCTGAGCTCGAGTCACTCCTAGCTTAAGCTCGTGCTTGATTAATTAATCAAGTTCAAGCCGAGTTCGAGTCAGGGCTGGCACAAATTTAGTTCATTGAGCTTGATTCAAATCGAGCTCGAGCCGGCTTGACTCGCTTACAGCCCTTACATTCAAACAATCGAGCTCAAGTAGCAGAAGCATTTCTCTAATATTATTGTTTTTTTCTTAATAAATAAATGCAAGTTTTGATTATCAGTCAAAAGCCCCTTCAATGTCCAAAAAAAATAAAGCCCCTTGAACCACATCAAATGTTCTCATCTATCAGGATAAGGATGGACATTGGCTGAGAATTGGAGATCTCTCATGGACGTAGGCTTTTATTTTATTTTATTTTTTAATATTTTTGAATTTATTTAGTATTTATTATGGATTTATTTTATTTTCATGAAGGACTTTCTTAGCTAATGCCAGAAATCTGAAGATAATAAGAGCTGATAAGCTGAATTAACATCAAAGAATTTTAAAAAGAGGAAAGGCAGCACGAAATGGAGATAGCTTTAATTGGGACAACTTTCTTATTGATTTATGTAATAACTTTTAAGCACGAATTTTTTTTAAAGCAGCGAAAAAAGAGGGGTTAAATGTTGTCCCAAACAGAGCCTTATTTAGTCTTTGTTTGTATTGTGTTATGTATTGGTAATAGCTTATGAAGTTGAAGGTAAAGCAAGACAGTATGCTCAGCCTTTTGAAAGCTGATATGAAGTTATTATGATACACAACTCTCCTTGGCCTATTGGTTGAGAGCTTAGGCTTCCAGCTAAGAGGTCAAAGGTTCGAGTCTATGTGTATGCGTTGTGTGTGTGAGTTTGCCTTAAATGGCCTAAATGTCCCAAAAAAAAAAAAGTTATTATGATGCAATCAAAAGGTCTTTCTTTATGAAGTTTATTTAATTTAATTTTTTTAAGATTTTTAATTGTATTTTTATTAAGATTTATTTTAATTTATATAGTTTAAGTAGTACGGTGTTAAAAGAGGGTTGACGAAGTTGGTTCGGATGCATTTATAGTGCAAATAAGCTTTCAACTCTAAAGCTTAACTTTTTGAGTGACTAACAACAGCTTCTTATTTCTATATCAATATATTTTAGTTTTTTAACTATCAATGAAAAACTAAGGCTTCTTTCTTACTGCTTTTGAAACAGCTTTTTAGTATAAAATTTTTTAGTTTAATTTTTTAACTTAAAAGCTGCTTTAGAAAATAGTGAAAAAAGTTATTCCAAACGAAACCTAAGACTTCATTTGAAACAAGTTTCAAACTATTTTCTAAAGCAGTTTTTTAATATAATAATTTTTTTTTTTGGGAAAATTTGTGCTTGGCCCGTATATTGATATCAAAAAGTTACATAAGATGTAAATAAAAACAAAATACCCAGCCAAAGCAGGTAACAGCTCCTAAGAGCAGAAGAAATAATAGGGACAAAAACAACATAGAGAACTCAACCAGAGTTCCAAAAAAGGCTCCGAACAAAATCAACCAGGACTCAGAATAGATAAAAAATTTATGAGGCAAAAAAACCCTTGGTTTCCCGAAGACCGTACGAGGGGAAAATAGTCAGAGATCAGTTAACGGAGCTTCATCATTGTCTTGGTTAAAACACCATCTCTAGCATATAAGCAGCAAAAATTAACAGGAAAAGAAGCCATCCATTTCAGATGTTACCCAGCAAAGGTCTGAATTTCTCCACTTAGAAACTTTCCCAATAACTAATCTTTTGATGTTAAACAGTAAAGAAGAAGAACTATGAATATCATTTCCATATCTCCTACTATTCCTTTCTCTCCAAAGGTGAAAAATAATACAACAAACCGTCAGCATATAGTAGTTCTTATTCATAAGAGGACCCGAGAAATCAGATTCCAACCATTGTAACAGTTGCAAAATAGTAGGCCTTAGCAGAAAATTCTTAGCCTCAGGGATTAGAGCATTAAGCATAGAGAATGAATAAGAACACTAAAAAAAGAGGTGGTTAACAGATTCGGAAGCCGGGTGACAAAGGGAGCAAATAACCGGCACATGAATATTCTTAATTCTCAATGCATTGAGTTTTTAAACCACCAACTAGAGCAAGCCAAACATAAACATAGTGTTTTAAAATATGCTTTTTGTGCCATACCAGCTTGTACCAAGAGCAAGACGACAATAAATTGTAGTATTCCTCAATAAAATCTCTAAAGTTAACCTTGTCACGATTGTTCCAAATCAAATAGGGACCAACGGAATCATAAATCAGAAAACTGCTAACAACAGCCCTCAAATGCAGAGAAACATCATCATAAATAACCAAATGCAGGGAGGAAATATAATTTTTCAGCAGAGGAAGAGAGAATCGATCAAGAGAAGCACCACTCACATGCTTCGAGAGAGTAGCATTATTACACCAATGATCCCAATGCAAGGAAATAGGAGTAGTAGGTGTAATAATAAACTTAAATTTGGACTTCACAAGAGCAGCAATATTACAAATAAAAAACTAGAATTTACTGGCTTTGGGATGAGGGTGTCTCCACGGTGAGGTATAGTGAGCAGACAACCAAGTAGATAAAGGAGAGGGGCAGTTATACATTCTGTGAATCACAGAGTAATTAAAGGCAAACTTAAGGGCACTTATGGAGGGAATACCCAATCCTCCTTTCAATTTAGGCTTGCAAACTTTATACCACGTAACCATATGAAGCTTGTTAATGCAAGCAATGTCCCCAAAAAACAGGAATCTAGAACAAGTTTTTTTAAAAAAACTTATAAACAATTTTAGGCAAGATAGAACCCCTTATCCAATAGGCAATAGTATTTTGAAAGGTAAACTTCAAGTATTGCAATCTACCAGCAAAAGACAAAAGGGTTGCCCTCCAACCAGTAAATTTTTTATGCAAGCTGTCCATCAGAGGCAAGAAGTCCTCAACTTTCAGTCTATTAAAAGAAATAGGTATGCCAAGATAAGAGATCTTGGAGCTAATGTTAAATATAGATAGAGCTTGACATAGAGTTTCCCGATTTCTTTGATTCTTAGAGAACATGACAGAGCATTTATCAAAGTTAATGTGAAGGCCAAAAGCATTAGCAAAGTCATTGAGAATTGTAGAAAGAATTCTACAATTCTCTAAAGTGGCTTCTCCAAAAATTAACACATCATCCGCATACAAAAGGTGAGACGGTGGTAGTTGTCAGCTTTAAAACCTTTGAAAACTCTCTCGTCAAGGAGATTAGATAATGCATCCATAACCAAGCAAAAAAGATATGGACTAAGCGGGCACCCTTGTCTAAGACCCGCAGAAGACGGGAAAAAGCCCTCCAATGCTCCATCAATGACAACAGAGAAGTTCACGTTTGATAGACAAGCTTTAATCCAACTTATAAAAGGCCTTGGGAACCCTTTTTTAACATACGAGCTAACAAGAACTCCCTAGAAACTGAGTCAAATGCTTTTTTGATATCAATTTTGGCACAAAACATGTTACCAGCACCTCTTTTATTGACCAAAGAAAGAATATCATTGGCAAGCAATATGCTATCCGTAGAAACTCTAGACTTCACAAAACCTGCTTGTGTGTCTTTAACGATAAGAGGCATAATCGGATTAAGCCTACCAGCAATGACTTTAGTAATGATTTTGTATAAAGTGTTACACAAGGAAATAGGTCTATAATCAGTGATGGAAGTAGCATTGCGATGCTTGGGAATAATAGCAAGAGCAATGGCTTTTACCCCACTTGGAATATACCCTTTGAGGAAAAAAGATCTGATGGCTTTGCAAACAGAGGGACCAATAATGTGTCAACCAGATTTGTAAAAGTGATAGTTAAAGCCGTCAGGTCCAGGAGCAGATTTTGAAGAACCCTTAAAAACTGCTGCTCTAATTTCATCATCCAAAATAGGAGTAATAAGCAAGTTAGCATGGTTATCAGAAAGAAAAACACCAATTGGAAAAAAATCCATATTCATGCAAGTAGGAGGAGGGTTAAACATATCCTGAAAATACATAAGAATGGATTGGAGCACCTCCTCCCTAGCAATGTTTGGATTGCGAGCAAATAAGTTGACAACATATTTAGTGCTTCCCATTCTACTCCTGATTTTTGCATTAAGAAATTTAAGGTCATCCTCACCATGATATAGCCAGTTAATCTTAGCCCTTTGAATAATCCAACTAGCAAGCGTGGAAGACACTTCAGAAATTTTGAGGTTAGTGTCTTTAAGGGAGGCACAAAGAGAAGCATCTGTAGGAGTAGCCTGGATAAGTTCTAAAAGATCCAGTTGCTTGGCATGAAGAGAATCCAGTTGCATATTGATAGTATGTGAGTTAGCCCAATGTTCATTTTTAATGTCACCTTTTAAATGCCTGAGAACATTACAAAGATGGGATAAAGGGTTACCAATCATAGGCATGGAGGCCTTTAAAAGATGAGTCCAATATCTATCATGTTTAATCCAAAAATTCTTAAAAAGAAATCTATGGTGAGAGTGAAAACTAACACTCGGATGCAATATAATAAGAGAATGGTCCGAACAGGACGGACTTTGAAAAGAGTAGTAAGCATTAGGGAACTTCTTCATCCACTCCTCATTAACGAGAGCCCTATCTAATTTAATAAAAATAGGATTCTCAGTGCGTTGATTAAACCAAGTATAGTAGAAACCAACCGAATGTAAATCCACCAGACCATTAGTAAATATCATATTATTAATATCTACCAAAGCAGAATGATGATGAGCAGAACCTCCAAATTTTTCAGTGGCAAAATGACAACAATTGAAGTCCCCAATAATTCCCCAAGGAGTGTCAATAGAGGGAGCTACCATGCTAATAGAAGTCCAAAGATCCTTTCTGTCAGAAGCACTGTTAGAAGCATAGATAACATAAATCTGAAACAGGGAATGATTGCCAACCAAAACAGTCCCAGTAATCATTTGCGGAGTAACAAAATTTGGAGTAAAATTTGATTTACTAGGATTCCACTTAATCCAGATCCTACCAGAGGAGGAAAGATTAAAATTATGGTGTCGTTTTTCATGGGGGAAGAGGGAATGAGAAGATTCAAAGAAGGGTTCAAGGAGAGAAGGGGCATGCACCCGAGTCTCCAAAAGACAAAGCATGTCGAGCTTGTATGACTTAATAAGGAATTTGCAACTTAAAACTTTTTCAGGTCGATTGTATCCCCTAACGTTCCACGCACCAATGGTAGGTAGAAACATCAGGAATTCGAGAGCAATTGGGATTTTTTACCCTGCTTTCCCTTAGCAGATTTCTTAAAAATATTAGAAGTAGATTGCTTCTTTCCTTTCCCAGGTTGCTTGGGAGCATTCCCAACAATATCACTACTCGAAGCCATATTATCCTGTGGTCAGGATCTTGTTGAGAGCCTAAAATCTCAAATTTGTAAGGAGAGGTGATGCTAGTAGACGGCTTTTGGGAAGTAGCCAACAAAGAGCAGGAAGATGAGGAAATTTCTTATGTGGGAATGTTTAAATTGGGAATGCTAGCCACAATAGTATCAGTAATATGTTCCTCATTAACGTTAGCAACCGTAGGGAATATCACAATAAAAGGATTTTCTTCAACATAGGCATCTGACTGAATGTTAGCTGTTTTGGAAGGTGGAGGGGGGGGGGGAGTGAGTTTGGTAATGAAGAGGTTGCCCGATACTATTGGTGTGCAGAGGATTGGAGGGGATATTGGTAGCAGCAGCAAGTGCTAAATAGTCCAGCACGCTAGAGGCAAGTCATGAATTTTGACCCAAATAGGAACCGAAGAGAAGTTTTCTCTCTTTAGCTTGAATTTAGGATGTCATTTATGAAGTACAAAGGGTTTCCCAAGCATGAACCACACACCTTTGGACCAACCCATATCATAATATTCCACACAAGAAAGCGAAGAAGAAAACAAACCATTGCTAAGTGAGAGGAGTTGAAGAGAACCTTTAAGAGACCAGGTTTTGTTAATGGCTCCCAGCAACGCTTCATAGTAAGGTCTCCGGCCTATAGAGTAACCAACCAGACATAAACTCCAATCATCACTTCCCTGAGCTAGTTTATCCCTAGAGAAAGGAATGATGTTTGGTTCTGAAGGATGATGAGAGAAACTAAAGGCTTTAGAAGAAGAGGAAGTATCAGGAGCAAAAATCTGGCTCCAGTTGCGCAAAGAAACAGGGGCCACAACACCTGCTGAGGTGAGAGGCGGAAAATATGAAGAGAGGATAGATGACTCCAAGAAGAAAGGCCTCCGGCTTAGTCGGATGGGACGGCGGAAGAAAAAAGCTCAGCAGGGGAAAAAGAGGGAAAAAGAAACCCTAGCAGAGCTCGTGGAGCACTTTGTTTGTAACAAATGAAAATAATATAATAATTTTTTAAAAGCAATGGAAAAATATTGATGAAAAGTTGTCCAAAATAACATTTCTACACTAATATATTATTTTCAATTAGCCCAAAATTTTGCATGTCTTAACAATATATTCATTTATATATTAGATACATTAAAAAAAGAATAAGAAAAGTATTCAATGTACGAACAATATGAGATTATTATGCATTTTCGCATGTCAAAATGTCCACCAACACGCTACCTATTGCAAGAGTCTATTTGTGACTATGATCCCTATTAGGATCTTGGAGAAAGAACAAACTCTTCTTCATCTTTTTGGAAGAGAGGGAGAGAGAACTTAACTTGAATCTAATTTTTATTAATTGGCATGAATCTCTTATTGCAAGCTATAACGTTTATTTATAGACACTAAATGGTAGCAAAAGAAATACAATTATACAAAGGGCTACTCAAAAACTAACTAAAAGAAAGTTCAATTGAGTAAATAAATCTTGGACAAATTCACAACAATCCTCTGATAAATGGAGAACAACAACCGTAAGGGACGATTAATGAAATTTTTATGACAATATATCATCACAAAATAAGGAGAGAGAGAGAGAGAGAGAGAGAGAGAGAGAGAGAGAGAGAGAGAGAATGAGAGTTGTTGGTTGGATTAAGGCTATTGTATAGTGTATTGTATGCCTGTTGTTCCCTTCAAGTAGACTATATGTTTTCTTTAAATGGGCAAAATGTATCATATAAGTGCCTCTAGAATAACAAATATACATCATATAATTGCATGAAAAAATGTCTTGTGTATCATGCAAATTCACTATGTAAATGCATTGAAAAGCATGCATGATATTTAAGAGATGCCAATACTTGCCCAAATGCAGATGCTTGCTTTCATAAATGAACTAAAGTCTAAATTTAAAGATTAGATAAAAATAAAATAAATTTAAATGTCTCGTATCTTGAGAAATGTGCAACTATTCCAAAAGCATGCCAGCATTTTGAAAGATTTCTAAAAATTTCGAAATTCAAATTTCTTTAAAAAATTTTCAAATTCAAATTCAGCATGATATGCACACTCTTTGAGGACAAGGTTATAGGTTCTATATTTTTAAGCCCGAACCTTTAGATCATAGAGATTGTTGAATCTCATGAGCCTGATCCCCTGCAAGCATGCTGCTAGAGCTAATAATATTCAATATGACAAAAGTCACTTAAAATCACACGTGAAATTGTCCACTTTTTTTTTAAAGAAAACCTAAGCCTATGTAGGGCAAGATTGTAATTCCTATATTTCAAAGCTCAACATAGAGCAAGATTGTACGTCGATAACATTTGAATTGGAAGAACCTGAACCTCTTCAAGCAAGCCGCTAGAGTGGATAAAACTCAACATAGCAAAGCTCAATTAATTAGCCCTATGATGGACATACTCATTTCGTATCACAACTGAAGGGGGAAATTATTTTTTTCGAATTGTAAACTTTAATGCTTCAAATTGTTCCATCATAATGATTGTCATGTTGATGGAAAATATCAATTGGAGAGGATCCTATTTTCAAAATGTCCTCAAATCCCATTATAAATTATTTTTTTACTCAAATAAGACAAAAATAAAAGAATTTTGTGAAATAAAAAAAAAACTACTCAAATTTATTCAACATCCACAATAATGTGATGAGAGTAACAAATTTATGATTAAAATCAACTCACAAGCTGTTGGTTTAATCACTCTCATGAGATATCACATCATAAAGGAAATAGAAAGTGACCTTACCTAGGTTATTTTATCACTAAATGACATAATTAAATAATGATTATGATCAAGGCCTTATGATTGGATATTTTCATCATAAAATTAAACCATATATTATAGACAGTAATATAGACACGATCAAAAACTTATTGTTCTCCATTGGCTTAACCCCTTGAGTTATCAATCATATTGTGCATTTGATATGGCACATAACTCTCTATTTAGCTAAATTTAATTTAAAATTATCCCCACAATTAAGCAAACTTCCATCCCAAGTCTATATGATATCCTTGAATGAAGCAACCCATTATTGACGATAAGGCTCTTTTGATCATGTTGGGTTGATTACTTATGCTAACTAAGTAGACCAAGTTATCTATCACAACCTGAAATGATGAAACTATGGGACCTTAATCTAGCTTTTCATCAGTCCCCCAACCATATGTTTTAAGCTTCTAACGAAAAAATTCTTCTTGCTACCACAATATGTTAAGCACTTAGCACTGAACAACTAGCCTTAAATGAATGTTTTCTCTCATCATCATGAAGAGTAAACACATAATAGTGCTTAAGAAAAACCTGAAATCAAATCATAAAATCCTAAGAAAAGAATGAACAAATCTCTGAACAATTTCTTATGTGCAATCTATCCAGCTACTAAAAATTATACTCAAAATAAAACTTTATATACCCACACACATTTCAGGAAATTCATTGAATACCGGCGTCATTTCCGGCGGTCATTTGACCACCGAAAATACCATCAGTTTAACTGGCGGTTTGACTGTCGCTATTAACCGGCAGTCAAACCACCAATAATAAGGAGAAAATCGCTGTAAATGCCGCCGATATTATGTTTTCATGTTTTCGGCTTAGCCGCTATTTTTAAGTAACAATTTTCTGACTGTTCAAACTGCCGGAAACGCCTCCGGAAAGTGCACTAAAACTGAAAAAAAATCCCTCCTTATTCCTCATTTCTTCGTCTGGCTTGTCTAGATAACGTGGTGGCTTGTTGAAATCTGCCCTTGGTCGGCTCCTCGTTTGGTTCGAGCAAAGAAGCAACGACTTTTTGCCCTCGCCACACTGAGCTTGACTGCCGTCCAACCTTGATGTTGGCAATTTTCACCCGCCCACCTTAGCCGAAGGTGATATCCATGCATCTCCTTAGTTTTATTTTAATCTCCATGCTTACTATATATGCCTTTGTAATCTCCATGCAGTCCTTTGGTGTTGATTTAGAGAAAGCCTTAAAGCCCACATATTTTTGTTTTAGTCAAGGATGTTCTCACTAGACACTTGCAAAAGGATGTACCTTGGTGTATGCTTTTTGCTGATGATATTTTTCTTGTTGATATGACTAAAGAGGCAAGGATGTTCTCACTAGACACTTGCAAGAGGATGTACCTTGGTGTATGCTTTTTGGTGTAGCCTTAAGCCCACATATTTTTGTTTTAGTCAAGGATGTT